TCCATATCATTATTAGCATTTTGGTCAAAGGCATTCAACAAGTCTCTTGGTAGTTTCATAGTTTCCCACATTTTCCTGTCTTCTTCTGAGCCCTCCATATTGTTCCAACTTTGGCCCGTTACCCATTTCCAAATTTACTTTCACATTTTCAAGTATCTTTTTTAGCAACACTTCACACTAATGTACCAATTTTCTGTATTAGTCTGTTTTCACACTGCTGATAAAGACATACATGAGACTGGTCAATTTAAGAAAGAAAGAGGTTTAATGGACTTACAGTTCCACATGACTAGGGAGGCCTTACAATTGTGATGGAAGGTAAAAGGCACATCTCACATTGCAGCAGATGAGAAGAGTCCTTGTGCAGAGAAAATCCCCCTTTTTAAAACTATCATATCTCATGAGACTTATTCCTTATCACAAGAACAGCTCAGGGAAGACCTGCCCCCATGATTCAATTACCTCCCACTGGGTCCTTCCCACAACACATGGAAATTTATATGAAATTATTTTATTCTATTTGTGTAAAATGCAAGAATAAGCAAATTAATAAAAAAAATTACAGAAAGATCAATGATTTCCCAGTGATAAGTCAAGTGAATTGGAGAGGGGTAAAATGGAGTAACAACAAAGGGTCATACAAAAATATGGAAGACAATATAATTACTATCCTTATTTTTGGTATATATTTATATCAAAACATACTCGAATTTCAAATACTTTAATACTGTAATTGTGGTATATAAAACACTTTTAACTTTAGTATAAAAGTTAAAAGGCAAAAGTATTAAAAACAACTATAGCTACTGTGATAGTTAATTATATGTGTCAATTTGGCTGGCTAAGGATTTGCCAAGATAGTGAGCAAAACGTATTTCTAGATGTGTCTCTGAAAGTATTTCTGAAAGAGATTCCATTTGAATCAGTAAGCTAAGTAAAGAAGATCAGCCCTTACCAATCTAGTCAGACCTCATCCAATCCAATGGGGCCATATTCCCCACCCACCACCTCCTGGCAATCATATTTCTAGCTTCTGCTTTTATGGGATTGATTTTTTTTAGATACCACATGTAAGTGAAATCATACAATATTTATCTTTTCGTATCTGGCTTATTTGCTTAGCATAATGTCTTCTGGGTTCATGTTGTCATAAATGGCAAAATTTCCTTCTTTTATAATGTTGAATAATTTCTACAATTTCATTATTCATTTATTGTTGGTGGACACATGCCTTGTCTCCATATCTTGGTTATTGTTAATAATGCCACAATGTATATGGAGTACAGTTCTCTTTTCAAATTACTGATTTCATTTACTTCGGATATATCCCCAAAAATGGGATTGGTAGGTCATACGGTAGTTCTATTTTTAATTTTTAAGAAGCTCTTATTATGTTTTTCATAATGACTATATGAGTTCACAATCCCACCAACAGCATATAAGGGTTCCTTTTTCTCAACATCTACACCAAATTATCTTTGTTTGTGTGTGTGCGTTTTAATAACAGTCATTCCAACAGGTATGAGGTGAGACCTCATTATGATTTTGATTTTCATTTCTCTGATCATTACTAATGTTAAGCTAATTTGCTGAGATCTGAATGTTAGATAAGGCTTTTAAATTATTTTAAATGAAAGGGAGGTGGATAAGTGGGGATATAATGTGGGGAAAGCATGGATATGGTATAATTGGAAATCTTAACAGGCAACCCAAAGAAGTAGGAGAGAATCTTTACTGGAAAGCAGAGAAGGGCCAGACAAGTGTTAGAACAATTCTCTGTAGGCAAAAGGAAGTCATCTACTTTTCTGAGAAAGAAAGTCATGTGATGAAATTAATTTCATGAGTATTATTCCAAATGCATTATTCGGGCAAAATAGAAGACCATAAGGATAGAAGTCAATGGTGGCAGTAGGAAATTCACCAAAGGAGAACACAAAAGCCCAAACTTAAACAACTGCCATGACAACAGAAAGGAAAAATGTAGAGAAATACATAATTTTAGAAGATAAAGGGAGTAAAGCATTATGCCAGGTTTTCCCACTTTCCAATCTATGCTGCAAATTAATCTCAGCACTCTCTTCTTGAAACACATTACTGGATCACCACACATTTAGAACAATATAACTACTTCCCCCACTAATTTCAACACATAAAGATGAGTTTGCCTGTTAGAATCCTTCACTGGGAAGCTCTGTGTAGTCGTTTTCTCTACCTTTACATCTTTTGCCATAGCCTAAAATCTCTTCCTCTTCTCCAAAACCCCTTCCATCTTTCAAAATTAATACCAAATGTTAATTTTTTGGTAAGGTGAATGAACTATGTTTGGTCTTCTCTGTACATTACTTACAGAACTTAGTAAACACTCACATGGGTTATATACCTGTCTTACCAAGCTTACAAGATAGGATATATCTGAGAGCAGAAACCAATTTTATGTTGCTTCCATAATGTTTTGCTCATAATGATGCTCAATAAATACTTGCTGAATGGATGATTTAAAAGTATCTTGTTTGTTGGCACAACTTTATTATTGCAATGTTCTTGAGACTTTTCGTCTCCAAGACAAGGAAACTCAGAATTCTCCTTCTAGAGTAGGAGAGACAAAGGAGAAAAGCAACACAGTGAGTAAATCTGGGAAATCACACAGGATTCCCTGTTCTTCTGATTATCCCCAGGCTCTTAAATCAGAAGAGAAGCCTGAAGTCTGTAGTTTACGGGATCCTGCTAATGAGTTACCCGGTATTATGCCCAAATAAGCACTTCTCTGTTAGTGACACGGCCAGGATGAAATAGTTTTAGTTTAACCTATACTATATGAAGGACAACTTATATTCAGGGCACTTTACTTTTTGAAGATCTGTTGATATTTTTGCAGTTTTACCTACAAACACACACACACAGACACACACACACATAGACACACACACACACTCACACACACAGAAGAAACTCATGGTGGTGCTCTAAAGAAATTAAACTCAGGGTCATACTTTCCAGAATGGGGTAAGAGTCCCAAAGTGAGAAAACAGATTACTCCTGTATAACATTTTACAGTTTAACTTTTAATGACATCTTAAATACTATTAATGCTTCCATTGGCTTATAAAATGATACTGGTAGTGACTGGGGAGCAGAAAAATTATGCAAATTCCTCAGATTCACATGTTTATTGGTTATGAATGATAGTATCAATGCATCTCTATGTAATGCCATATGGGATAGAGACAAAATCTGTTCAGGGAGTCGAGAAGCCTTTGTCCAAATGTTTTTCTTAATATCTATTACTGTAACTTTCCAAAGTTCAAGTTTTCTCATATGAGTACTTGAAATAGTAAGATCTACTGTATAGAATTGTGAGGACAAAGTGAATTGCACATGTGGGCACCCATAGGGTAACGTTTTTCACAGAGTAGGCACTCCATGAATACCAGGTTTCTTTTATTCCATAACCTTTCTCTTCATGGAAAACCACCCATGTTTAGAATATGTAGCATACACATCTATCCACACACAAGCGTATTGATGTACTAATGATATATGTGTTGAGCTCTTGTTTATATTAGAGAGGAACAGACATAAAAAGCATCCACATATAATTTGGTAAGCACTCAGCTAAATATGGCTGTACCTATTACTAACACCATTCAGCTAATGCATCCAGGATTTCACAAGAAGACTCTAGCAGCTGTATACACAGAGTATTAGGTGATGTTCGAAGTATACAAAGTATTTGGTTATACAAAGAATATTAGGTGATGAGGGCTTGGGGTTGGGGGTTAGGGTCAGTGGGGGTTTCTCAAATACATCGGGTACAAATCATCTGATCTAAAATACTGAGATAAATTCAACACGTTAGTACTGGACCTCAGAGACTCTATCATTTTAGTTTTATACTTCTACCCCTGGTAGTAAAATAGTCCAGTGTCATCTCATGGAGAAACCAACCTTCTATTTCAGAGATTTTACTCCTCCCAGAGAGAGATGGAGACTTAATAAGCATGAGCATGTCACTCGAACACCAAAATAGAAGAAAGTGTTATGATTTAAATTGACTAGCCAAAAGGAATTGGAACTTAGAGTCAGCAGATAATTTAAAATCTCATTAAAATAGTTACTGGAGCCACTGGGTATGTCGGTATGTGAATAATGTAGAGGGACAGTTGAAACTAACTATAATCATACATTTTTAAAACAAATGTAACCAGAAATACATATTCTCAAATGGCCTTTAAAGTATTCAAACCTAGGAAAACTATACTTCATCCTGGTGCTATTCCCTATGTAAAGCAGTTTAGAAGTTCCTTTTTGGAAATTGACATCAAGACCAATATAGGAAGCAAAATAAATTCATGTCATAATCAATGTATTTTTTAAACCAAGAACAATATTTTTTTCAGTTGGAATATGAGTTACCATGCAATACATAGGCTTGCAAAAATCAGGAAAAATATCAAATTGTCTGATTTTCTTTAAGGGGTCTATTTGCTTTTGTTCACAGTAGATTACATAATTTTAACTATGACCAACTTTGTTATCTGTATTCATGAATACCTTAAACATAAGCCAAGTTTTCAGCTGGACTCAGCTATTTATTAATTGAAGTGAGTAAAGTGAGTAAAATAAGCATACATTTTTGAATAAAGATATTTTGGTAGAAAGTCAAGTCCGACTAGAGTTCTGAAATAAAGCAAATCACAACTTTGAAAAATAAATTATAATTAAGCAAAAAATATTGAAATTGTCCATATTTCTGCCATGTAGTTCACAAGGATTTTCAGTTTCCCTTACATTTGCTTCCAAGTTACTTTCAGCAATTTCCAAGAAGAATAGAATTTCCCTTCAAAAAGATATAAGTTGTCACTGTTTCAAAGAAGTTGCTACAACTTTCAAAGACAATTCTAAGAGAGGAATCTTAAGAATGTTTGTGCCATGATGGCTCTAATTAGAATAAGTACATAGCTTTTAAAACGTGTCTGTTTTGTTTGGATAATTTAAGAAGGATAGATACTAGTAAAATGCAGTCGCGTTGGTTTATACATATACTTAATCAATAGATGGCATTGCAAGGAGCATTCCGGTTTTATGGGAGGTGGGAGCGTCACTTCCTTGGCTATAATAAAGAGTTCTGATGTAGGCTTGTACAGCAAGAGGAAGAGTCTGTATGCAGAAGCACCATTTTCTGGGGATATATAAAGGGTCAAGTCAACGAAGAGCAGAACAAGCTTGAGACACTCGCTTCTTCCCGTCAACTGCAGCCTGCTCTCACAACCTCACTATGTCTTGCCAAAACTACTGCTCTGGAAACTCCTGCTCAGGATCTCTCAGAACCTCCTGCCATATTCCTCTCACCTCCGTTGCCCTCTGCCCTACCAACGTGAGCTGTGGAGATGTCCTCTGCTTACCCACTAGCTGTCAAGACTATACCTGGCTCACAGACAACTGCCAGGAGACCTGCGGTGAACCAGCCAGCTGCCAGCCAGCCCACTGTGAGACCGGCAACCTTGAAACCTCTTGCCGTCCTTCCACTGCTTACTATGTGCCCAGATCCTGCCAAGGAACCAGTTTTCTTCCTGCTTCTTCTTTCATCTCCAGCTCCTGCCTTCCAGTATCCTGTAGACCGCAGAACTATGTGTCCAGCAGCTGTCGTCCACTGAGGCCACTGATCAGTAGTTGCCAGCCCATAGGAAGCTGTGTGCCTGGTGGCTATCGTCCCCAGTACTCCTTTTCCAACAGCTGCCAGCCCTCCAACCTCCTCACTTCTGGATGCCGACCCTCCGGTTGCTTAGCCTATGGTCCTCAAACCTTTCACGTTGTGTCCAGCAGCCTCAGACCTCTGGGGCCTCTGTTCAGTGGTTGCCAACCTCTGAGCCATGCGTTCGGCACGTGTCGTCCATCTTGCTCTGCACTGTGAAACCAATAGCTTCTTTGTTCCAGTGTGTAATCACTCTGAGGACCCAAAACAAAAATTCACTCTGGGGACTTTTGCTTCTTCGCTAGTAGTAACTGATGTTTCTTACTTTTACTGTTAGTGATCTAATGCAACCTGCTTCTCTTACATGTTTTATCTTGTTTTCATCTTTCCTTGACATCAAAAAAATTGGCTTACAATGCGATTCAGTGTTGCTCTGGTGTGGGAAGAATGTATTTGATTTACGCTAGAATAAATGCAATTAAGTCCGAATTAAGAATCTTGTTCAGTGGTTTGTCTTTCACGACTTAATTTTAACACAGAAATGACCAACGTCAATTGTTTGCAAGATAAGTGAATTGGACAAATGATACCCAACCATATGTTTGTACCTGACAGTGGAGGGATTGTTTGATGGTTTATTCCTTAAGCTGCTTTTAGACTTCTGACCCTATGTACTTGAGAGACCCAAAAAGTCCTTGGTGAAAGTTGCTTTGAAGAGGAAAAATTAGGAACGATGCCTCTTATTTCTCTATTCCACTGAACACACTTTCAACAGAATGTTCTTTCTAATTGCAAACCTAACCAGATTTCTGCTTAAGCCTTTGCTGGCTTCCTATAATCTATCTCCATAAGATAAAAATTCAAACGCCTTAGCAGGATACCTGGTTTCCCTCACTGTCTTTTTCTATCCCCCCTCTCTGGCTTCATCCTATTTTGATCACTACTGCAAATAATAAAATTGAGATCCTGCAAGCCTGACTTACACAAAGCTCCCCAAACATATGCTTTTTATAATCATCTACCCTTTTGCATGTGTCATAATCGAGAGCAGTATGTTCTTCAGCTCTGCTTTGAAAACTCATACTTACTTTTAAAAAACACAGTCTGAGTTCATTAATTAATCTTTCGATTTATTCAGAAACAAATGTACTGCTTGCATACTATGGGCTGAAAGCAAAAGATACTGAGGTGAAAAATACAGTCCTGAACTATTGCAGAATTTACCAGAAGTTATATGCTATGGGACATGTAACAATTAAAGATGCATTTTCTCTCACTCAACCTAAAATTTGTGGGGGTAAATGTTTCACAAATTGAAGTAAAACAAAGCTGTGGCCAGGCGCAGTGGCTCACACCTGTTACCCCAGAACTTTGGGAGGCCAAGGCAGGGTCAGGAGATCGAGACCATCCCAGCCAACATGGTGAAACCTTGTCTTTACTAAAAACACAAAAATCATCTGGGCATGGTGGCAGGTACCTGTAGTCCCAGCTACTCAGGAGGCTGAGACAGGAGAATCATTTGAACCTGGGAGGTAGAGGTTGCAGAGAGCCGAGATTGTACCACTGCATTCCAGCCTGGTGATGGAGAGAGACTCCATCAAAAAAAAAAAAAAAAAAAAAAAAAGTTGTATAGGCACAAATATTTACCTTTTTGAGGAACTGGAATAGTTAGAAAAGCTAGAAACTGTATCACTGTGTAAGAAAGACAGTGATTGCCAGGAGCTGACTCACACCTCCACACCTCTTCTCTTTAGACAAGGAACACACCTCTGTTTCTCATTTCCGTCTTGCCCTAGAGACTTCCTAACAATGAAGCAGAATGGCAGTTCCACTTACTACCATGATCATGCTGCTGTTTTTAAATTGATCCTGGTTCACTATTTTACCTTATTTATTTGCTCTCCTGGATATTCTGAATTTGTGACATCTATATCCCTTGTTTTTTGAAGACTCCTGGGCCCTCTCTGTGCTCCTTACCCTAATCACACATTGGCTGAGGCTGCCTCTTATCTCAGCCATACATCTGTTGTTAATCTTGTTGAACTATTATTGATAGCATCATTTTAAATGAGGTTTTAGTTAATGTAACATACATAACTGATTTTTGCATGTTCTTGAACTGTAAAACAAAATTGTTAAGTATCTACTCATTGGTCTCTGTCTTGTTTTACTAAATATGATGTTTCTGAGGTTTTTTCCATATTGTTATATGTCCAATTAGTCTTTTTATTTTTTGTGTGTATAACATTCAAGATTAAAACACCAAAATTTATTTATACATTATTTTGTTGATGAGCCTTTGGGTTGTTTCTAGCTTGGATCTATTAGAATTAATGTACAGAATATTCTTGTATTCTTGTACTATATGTTAATACACATCTGGAGATATTTCTATGCTGCAATATGTTTAAGGGTGGAATTAAGTTATGCGGGATGTACTTGTTTAGCCTTGTTTTATACCATTACAAAGTTTTGCCATGCAGTTGTGCTAATATTGACTTCTACTATCAGAGTATGAGAATTCCAATTGTTCTACACCCTCACCAACACTTGAAGTTGTCAGCCTATTTACATTTAGCATTTCTACTGAGAATGTAATTCTAAAAAAAGTTAGTTTTATTTTTAATTTTCTTGACGGTCCATTGAACTGAGCACTTAAAAAAAAATGTTTCTTGTGTCTTGACCATTTACATTTTTTTGTGTGTGAAGTAAAATTCAGGTCATTTGTCACTATTTTTAGTAAGTTTATCTGTCTTTAGAATTGGAATTGTTCTTTACACGGTTTAGATGCTCTTTGTTTTTTATATGTATTTAGTATAACTTCTTTTATATCATTCCCTGTTTTTTTACACCCTTAATGGTGTATTTAGATTAACAGAAATGAATCTCATTTATTGATCTTCTGTTTATACTTAGTACTTTTCTCATCCTTTTAAATAAATCTTTGTCTACCCAATATTAATAAAAATATTAACTTTAGAAACTTTTTTGTTTGATTTTCAACAATTAAATATGCCATCAATGAAAAATGGTGTGTGTGTGTGTGTATGTGTGTGTATGTGTGTGTGTGTATGTGTGTGTATGTGTGTGTGTATGTGTGTGTGTATGTGTGTGTGTGTATGTGTGTGTATGTGTGTGTGTATGTGTGTGTGTGTGTATGCGTGTGTGTGTGTGTGATGTGAATTAGGGGTCAAAATTCTAGTTGAATCAGCAGCATCTCCTAAAATACCCTTCTTTTTCTACTGCTCTCCAGTTCTGTATCCCTTTATTCAGAAATACATTATCTTTAAATGGATGGGTCTATTTCTAGACTCTATTGTGTTCTGTTGAATAATGTCTACCCTTATATCACCAATATGTCTTATTTTTCATTGTTTTATATTTATTTATAAATTCTCCTGAAGACGTTGAGGTTTTTGAAGGCTGCCTTTGTGGGAGTACCATGACTAGGCTCTCTGTAAATGTTTATTGATTTAAATCACAGTAGATTGCATTTTGATTGGATGGTGATGAGAAATTTCACTTTTTTTTTCCCTTTGAAGTTTTATTCAATGCTATCTTTCCTGAGTCTGGGGGAAACAAATGTTTGCTTCTCATATTCCCACAGCTTTCAAGTCCAAGAGCTAGGAATTAAGGAAAGTTCTCTATCCAGTATCTCATGACTAGACAGGATCTGCTAATAGCTATACATTAGTCCACATCTGGTAATTATCTGTTGCCAGCTATGTCTGATTTATTATTTTATTAATTTAATTTTCTGAAAATCTAGCACAGTAGCTGTAATTTTCCCTAATTTAGCCACAATCATAGAGATTATAAATTATTTGTCTGAGATTTATTTCTAAGTTTTCTCAAAGTCCATGTTTCTCCAGTAAACTACAAGTATAATATGAAGATTTGTTTATTCGAGCAAACTATGGGACAGTTTACTATCTGATATGTTTTGCCTTCTAGTTTTATAGGTTTTATTTCTATGATTAAAATAAGTAGAGGTTAGAACTTTGGGCATTTATTTTCACACAAAAAATTAAATATTCTTTATTAATATTCAAGTACCATTGTGTTCCTTGTGATTAACCTTCTGGATGTAGTCATTTTCAAACTGAATTTTATAAAAGCTGACTTCCTTTTGTCAAACTATAAGCTCAAACAATACATTGCCCTTTTCAAATGAACTTTAATCAAGAAAGCATGTCTCTATCAAAACCAATTATGAAGCATTACTTTTTTTTCTTAATTTCAAGATCAGATTCCACATACCAAATACATAAGAAAGATACACAGAAACATATTCTTCCTTTTCTTGATTGAAATGGATTGTGGAAAAAGCAAACACATATATCTGAATAATTATCAGAGTCTTTAAATCAGTCATACATAAGAAAATTAAAATGGAGTTAATCTAATATATTGTATAGATATTTTGAGGGTAGAATTTGGATTCTGAGTCTTCTTTTTAAACTTAACTCTGAATAATCACTTGCCAGTATAAATACGAATTTCATTCTCCACTGAAACTGTACTTTTGCTTAGAGAATTTTTCTGGAAATTAATGAAAGTGATGCCATTGGAGATGATGACTCAGGAATGTATGGATTTCTGGTTTCAATTCCAACATGTAAGGAGCTTAAAGAGTCACCACTCCTGTCTTACAACAAGAAAACAATAGGCAACTTGAAAATCAATGACTTTTCCTGAACCCATCAAAATTTTGCAGGGCAAAATTCCACTCCAAAATCTGGGGAGACAGGTGTGTCTAGAGTCACATCTGGAGCAAAAGCTGCTGAAGCCATAATCTGGTAGGAAACACTTAAATCATAAAATTTGAAGAATTTCTGAAGCCTGAGTGTTACTAGCACGTGTATAAAACACTCTTAGATGCCACAGTCTTAAGAATGCCTCATACCTGTATACTTCATGGGTTTTGCCTCCAGAAATTCTATAGGTTTCTCATGGAAGAAATCCAAGGAAGATGCTCCAATAGCTTTGTCAAGAGAAAGGGAGGAATAATCCTAGGAAACCATGTTCAGAACCTCCTCCATAATAAACACTTACTCTTCAGGAAAAAAAAAAAAAAAAAAAAAAAAAGATTTTACCAGGACCTTACTCAACCCAAGAAAAAGATATTTTTCTCTCTCCACGCCCCCACCCTAAATACTATTTCTGGCTCATCTAAGGAGGGAGGACTGAGAAATACTAATGAAGGTCACAGCTCGGAGACACAGGTGCAACAAAAGACTGAGGTTTAATTATAAGTTTATGAAATGCTTCCCCTCTCTTCCACCTTTCCCCCTACGCTGGCAAGGCTCCAGTATAATAACTGGATTACAGTTGAAAGGGCTCCATGAAGCAGGTTGTCTCTAAGGAGGAGTACTTAGGTCAGCTGAAAGCAAAGAAGGTGGACAAAAATTAAGGATACTAGAGAAATCTGAAGGTCTTTGACAACTACAGCTACAGCAAATAATAAACACAGCCCAACTTCTAGCCAGATTC